ACGGCCAACTAGTTTCACCTATTCATGCCATTCATGTAGACAGGCCAGATTTAGGTCTCCAGAGAATATGGGATCTTCTGGACAGAAAGTATGGTGGTCCAGAAGCCATAGAGCAAGACCTCCAACGCCGCATTGAAGATTTCCCCAAACTTTCTCAGCGAGACAATGACAAACTCCTGCAGTATGGACACTTGCTCATGGAGATTGAGTATGTGAAAGATGGTGGTAACTGCCCAGGGTTGCTGCATCTGGACTCTGGAAGGGGATTGCGTCGCCTGGTTCAGAAGCTGCCTTACAATCTTCAAGAAAAATGGTTAATGGAGGGTGCCCGGTATAAGGAGAAGCATCAAGTAACCTTTCCACCCTTCAAGGTGTTTAGCGAGTTTGTCCGGTACCAGGCCAAGGTGCGCAATGATCCAAGCCTCACGATGCCTCATGATCTCAAGCAACATGACATGCAAAAGAGAGCTGTCAATGTCAGAGCAACAGAAGTCAAGACGGTCATTCAGCCACAGGATGGAGAGCGCTGTCCCATCCACAAGAAAAATCACCCCATCTTGAAGTGCAGAGCATTTCTCGCCAAGAGTCCACCTGAAAAGAAGGCTGTCCTCAAGGAGCACCGACTGTGCTTCAGGTGCTGCCAGCCACACCATGCGGCCCGTGAATGCAAGGCCAGTGTAAAGTGTGACTCATGTGGCAGTAAACGGCACATGACAATTCTTCATCATGACCAGCACAGTGAGCCGGTGGACAAGCCACAGGAACCAAATTCTCAACCTACTTTGTCTCAGCCCCAAATTACGAGTGCCTGCTCTAAGGTGAGAGGCACAACATGCAGCTCTGGAAAGTCACGTGCAAAAATTGTTCCAGTCCTAGTGAAGTCTAAGAAAGACCAAAGCACTTGCGTCAAGACATATGCTATCATAGACGAACAAAGTAATAAAACATTAGCAACTCACCAGCTGCTTGACAAGTTTAATATTGACTACAGAGAGGTGCATTATACCCTACGTACCTGCAGTGGAGAAGAGTCGGCACATGGCAGGTGGGCAGACGACTTCATAGTTCAAGATATTCGTGGCACTGTGAGTTTGGACTTACCTGTTGTTACCGAATGCTCTCTCATCCCAGATTTCAAAGATGAAATTCCTTCACCTGATGTGGCCAGGGCATACGATCACCTGAAAGGTATTGACATACCGGAAATTGACCAGAACTGCACAGCAACTCTGTTGATAGGGAGAGACGTGCTAGAGGCACACCACGTCCTGGAACAAAGGATCGGGCCCCTTGGTGCACCATTTGCCCAGAAGATGAAGCTTGGCTGGGTTATCATTGGTGAAGTGTGCCTTCGGGGTGTCCATACAGGTGACGGCCATCGGGACAAAATTGTATCCCTTCGAACTCAGGTGCTTTCCACAGGACGTCCAACTTTTCTTGAACAATGTCCGAATGAGTTCCATGTGAAGCATTTGTTTGACAATGAAGCTGACGGTGTTAGCCTGTCCATTGAAGAAAAGCAGTTTGTTGACCTCATGGAGAAGGAAGGAAACCTTCAACACGGCAAGTGGACAGCACCATTACCCTTCAAAGAGCCAAGAGTCCGACTGCCCAATAATCGGCAGCAAGCTTTGAAGAGAGCTCAAATTCTCTGAAAGAGCCTGGACAGGGATCCCATCAAGAGAGGACACATGCTGACATTTATGGAAGGGGTTATTTCTCAGGGCCATGCCAAAGTCGCTCCACCTCTGCAAGCAGATGAAGAGTGCTGGTACTTGCCTTTGTTCGGAGTGTACCACCCCAAGAAGAGGGACAAGATCAGAGGTGTCTTTGATTCTTCAGCCCAATTCCATGGCCACTCGCTTAACCATTTACTGTAGAAGGTCCCCGACCTTACCAATGACTTGGTGGGTGTCCTCATGAGGTTTCGCCAAGGGCAAGTGGCAGTCTGC